AAAACCCCCAAAGAACTGTGGGATGCCCTTAAGGGACGTTTTGGGAACATTCATGATACTCTGCTCCCAGAACTGAATGCGCAATGGAATGAAATCCGTTTGCTAGACTATAAACGGACAAATGACTTTGTCAAAGATATGTTGCGTCTTAAGGCACGTCTCATCTTTTGTGGTAAGCCAATCACCGAAGATGACATGATTCAAAAGACTCTTGACACATTTCCTACCTCATCCATGATACTAGCGAACCAGTACAGGATGGAGTATGAAAACAAAAGAATTACCACATTCTACAAGTTGATGAATATGCTACAATCAGCAGAAAAGCATAATGAAGTCCTTGTGAATAACAATGCTCGGCCTGTCGGGACAAAGAAAATTCCTGAGGCCAATTATGGGAAAATAAAACATGGCAGGCATCCCAATGAAAAGGGACCTAGACGTGCCAACCCTTACCCACGTGGAAATAACTCTAATCGTGGGAAGGGTCGTGGTGGTCGTGGTAGAGGTCGTGGAGTATCTCCCAATGTTTGGCGAAGAGAGTCAAATGATGGACCGAGTGGCCGCACAAACAAGAAGTCAATTGCATCCAACCCTCCTGTGATAAAGAATGAGCCATGTTACCGATGTGGAGTTAGCGGACACTGGTACAAGCATTGTCGCGCTAGTAACAAAGTTGCAGCCTGCTACAAGAAATATCTCCAATCTAGAGAGCATGAATCTGAATATTTGGACGAAGAAGGCAATGACGCTGATGTCAATCTTACCCTTGCACACTTTACGAACAAGGGGGATAATGTGCACTCAATGGATACACCTGATTTTGATTGATACACTCTATTCATTCTCTCCATGCATGATGTTTTTAGAATAATTTTTTTTATGTCTCTCCCGATTTCCTAAGAGTGTTTTGAAGACTATTTATTGCATTTTTAGACTATGTGGAATTGTTTTATATTTGCCTTCAATTTAAATAAATTAAAGGATTTATGCACCTATTTTTATGCATTGTGTGCTCCAGTTCTATATGCAATTCTCTCATTACACAGGCATGAATCGAGGTGAACTTGAGTGCTTAATAGATAGTGGGACTACCCATACCATTTTGCGAAATAGGCAACTATTTGTTAACTTGGTAGCCTATAATTCATCCGTGACAACAATGATTGGTTCGTCACATGTAATTCAAGGACGTGGCACTGCCATTTTCTTACTCCCTAATGGTACATTGATTAAAGCCATAAATGCTCTATATGCACCTAGAGCTACTCGAACCTTGTTAAGTTTCAAAGACATCCGTGACAATGGTTTCCATGTTGAAACTCATTGTGAGAATGGTATTGAATACCTTTACATTACTTCTAATGAATGCGGAAGAAAGCGCATCTTAGAGAAGTTTAAGGGTAAGAGTAGTGGACTGTATATCACTACAAATTCGAATAATTGAATCTTATTCTATAAGTCATGATGACATAAGGGATACTGAACGATATAGACTTTGGCATGATCGACTAGGACATCCTGGTCGTGACATGATGATTCGTATCCTAAAAAACTCTCACGGTCATCCTTTCTTAAGAGGCAAGAACAAAGCGACACAAAACCCCGATAGCTTGAAAAGCGGTCGGCCCAATCTTGCTCAACTCCGACGAATGCCTTCTAAAGAAATTGAAGCACCATCCTCGTCTCAAAATAATTTTTTTACAATGTCACATGCCCACAAATCCTTTTGTAAAGCCTGCTCATTAGCAAAAATAGGATCACGATCATCCTATGCTAAAGATTCAAAAGAAAATATACCATTCATACAACGGATACAAGGAGATATATGTGGGCCGATACAACCAGAAAGCGGACCATTTCGGTATTTTATGGTACTGGTTGATGCCTCGACACGTTGGTCACACGTTACATTATTATCAACAAGAAATGCTGCATTTGCAAAACTCTTGGCACAAATAATTCGTTTAAGGGCTCACCACCCGGACCACCCGATCAAGTCTATAAGACTTGACAATGCTGCAGAGTTTACATCTAAGAACTTTGATGATTATTGCATGGCCATCGGGATCGATGTAGAGCATTCTGTTCCCCATGTACACACGCAAAATGGCCTT